TGTGTGTGGGGTAGGTGGGGGGGTGGGGGGGGGGGCGAGGTGTGTGTGTGGGGTGGAGGGCGAGGTGTGTGTGTGGGGTGGAGGGCGAGTGAGGGGTGAGTGGTGAAGGTGAGAGGGTGAGGTCGTGAGGGTAAGAGGGCAGGGGTGAGAGTAAGGGCGGGGTTGCGCGAGGGGCCGCACCGCTCGGGTAGTGCAAGTTCATCGGGACGACCATCGAGAGGCCCATCGCGTGGTGCACGCCCAGCAGGACGAGCAGCGGCGGAGGGCTGAGACTCCTCTTCTCAGGCAGCGCGGCGAGCTGGTACGCGCGGGTGAGCACCTGTGTGGCATCGAAGGACGGGTCGAGGGGGTATTCCTTCTGGAAAGCGTCGGCGGCGGGTTGTGTCGAGCGCACGTCGCTCAGCTCGTAGCCAGCTTCGCAGAGCGCGCCGTGGCACGCGAGCGGGTGCGACCAAGTTGGGTCGCAACCGAGCAGCACGGCCGGCACGCAGAGGGCGGCTCCGACGCCGTGCTGCGCGAGGATGACGAGGAGCCCGCACATGAATTCCAAGGTGGCTGCGCGGTCGAGGTCGATGAAGAAGCCCTTGGAGAGCGAGGCCTGCGAGCGAGTGATGAAGTTCTCTCGCCACGCCTTGCGACTGAGCCACGGTTTGATGACGGACCCGCCGACGACAGGGATCACGATCATCCAAAACAGGCACTGCATCGCAAGCAGCGTGAGCTGCGTGTCAATCTTCGGCTCGCAGTGCAGCAGGGAGCCGACGAAATCGCGCGGCGGCGGCGGCACGGCGGAGCAGACTCGGAAGGTCGGCGGCCGCCAGGCGAACTCGCAGTGTGGCGGCATGATCGCCGACCTGTATCCCGAGGCACGAGACTCTGGGGAGCTCGGCCGGGCCAGGGCGATGGACCCACTTCAAGCGATTGCGACCCAAGACTCATCGTTGGGGAGGGGTTTCCGGCGGGTTCTTTTTCAAGAATTCTTTTTTTGAGAGCGCCTTCGTTGTTAATAGTACGGCTGGCAACCGTGGCGCGGGGCTCGCGTTCGACAAGACCGGGATCGCTCTACCGGCAAACCTCTCGCTGACATGCGCGCCCCGTCGAGCTGACGGCGGGCGCGCTGAGGTCGCACGCCAAGCCAAGTTATATGCCAATGGCATGCGACCTAGAATCGGCTCACGCGCCTCTACTCGCATACGCTCACCCATAGAATTGTCACCGCCAGTGAGTGCGAGATAGGGCTAGCGGCTGGCGGCTAGCCTCTGAGGAGAGTGACCAGAGACACCTCACACGACCCCACACACGGTCTAGTCCGGCCTCGCGGTCGGCGGAGATTGCTAGAGGACGAGCAAGCCTGCTCTAGCCTCACGCGTTCGCCCCTGTCGTCTGTTGTGTTCTTGTGCCCTTGTTTGTTCTCTTGGCACCTTGGAGTGCTGGGGGGGGCGACAGGGAGGATGTGGCCTTGAGTTATGTGTACGCCAACTCAGGGTGTGTGGCAGCCAGCTGGCTGTGTGTCTTGTGACCTTGTTTGTGTCTGTGTGTCGCTCGTGCGTGTCGTCATCATCTGTCCCGCGTCCACCCATACCGCGTTGGTGTCCAGTCCGAGCCTGGCTGTTGTTCATCTTTCTACATACATACATTAATAGTACAAACCCAATGGTCCCTTGCGAGCGGTCCTTCGTTGCAGTCGCACACACGCACACGCCGCGCCGCACCGCGCGCCCGCCCACTGCCCCGCCCAGGCAGGAAAGAGGTGAGGAGATGGGACAGCAAAGGAGGAAGGAGCCACAAACACTTTTTTTCGAGGTTCTCGAGGTGGATATCCTTTGGCCGCGTTGGGTAGCGAGGATTGGTGTAACCCGATCCACGGAGGCGTGTTTTCTGACGGCCGACCGTCAGTGCACGGAGTTGCCCCTTCTCCGACTGCCCCGGCTAGTTCACGAGTTTCTCGCGGGAGTGACCCCATGCGTCAAACCCGAGACCTAGCACGGGTGGGTTGGAGGGGGCTCGCCCCGTTCCTCCCCATCGGGCCGCATGAGCGGCCACGCCTCGCAGATTCGTTCCTCGCGCCTGGGTCAGGCGCGCGGGGCATCCCCCGGGTCGTCGCTCGACCAGTCTTCCGGTGTGATCGCGAAGGAACGCCCGACTCAGGGAGTAGTCCAGCTTCTCGTGCGGGAAAACCATAGGATAGACGAGATATGAAGGTATGTGAGATGGTGATGGGAATGGGTGGTCGGGCGGGCGGGCGGGGCGGGCGGGCGGGCGGGCGGGCAAGCGGGGAGAGGCGGGCGGGCGGGGCGGAGCGGGCGGGCGGGGTGATGGGAGAAATCGTAGCCACAATCAGCAGCAGCGGAGCAGCAGCAGCAGCACCAGCAGCAGCTGCAGCTGCAACAGCAAGCAGCAGCCTGCCGCAGATTGCTGCCGTTGTCAGCGCCGCGATCCGCCGCCGCGCTGCCGCGCCGCCGCCTGCGCTCGCCGCCGCCTCGTAGACGACACCTCTCGCGCTCGAGGAGCCGCGCAGCGGGCCGCGAGGTGGGATGTCAAAGAGTCGCAAAGTGGCGAGGGGTCATGAAATCATCAAATTTTGAATTGAACTTGCCCGAGACAGCCCGGAAACGGTCCCGAGCCGTAGCCCCAGTGTCGGCGCATCGCAGCTCTCCAAACCTGCGATTTGGCTCTCTCACTCAGGGGAAAGTTGGGTCAGAAAGCAGAATGAAGCACCAAACAGCAAACACCCTCTGGTTTCTCCGGAAACTCAAAGTGCTGGGGACCCTCTGGCTTCCCTGCTCTGGGTTGCCGGAAACTCTCGTAAAGGCCAAAGCGCGGCCGTCTCTGTATCATCCCGAGGACTAGCTGCGCGTCGCCGCCCCTGCTCGCTGCCGCTTTCGGCTTGTGGCTGGCCGCGCGCGCGCGATGGCGGCAGCCTCGTCGGCAAACCGTCGCATCCGACCGTCGGGTAAGCGCAGGGCGGCGGAGAGTGCGGCGGCGCTCTGGGGGAAGAGCGCGCCGCTCTCGCCTGCACACAGTGAAAAGCGTGAGGAGACGCTGGGCCGAAAGGGGGTGGTGTTGAGTTGCGCTGCCCGCGCCGACGGCGACGATGAGAGGCGGTAGCGGGCGCAGCGCCGCCGGGGCGGAGGGAGAGGATGGCGGCGGCGGCGGCGAGGAGGAGGAGGAGGCGGTGGTGGTGGAGGAGGTGGCGGTGGAGCTGGGTGGCTGTGGTGCGCTGCGCAGCAAGGGGGCGTAGCGCCGCTGCTTGCGCGCGTAGAAGCGGCCGAGTGCACGGTCGGGGCAGATTGTGACCTCCGCAACCAGCAGCTCCCCGGCAGCCTGAGGGACATGTCCTGGACGTGTCACAGAGGTGAGCCACGGTCGTGTGTCACAGAAATGCCAATCTCGGCGCATCTCGGCGCATCTCGGCTATGACCTCGTCCGCCGCGAGCAGGTCGGGCGACAAGCGTGCAGCCGCACTGCCGGCGCGGGGGAGGCCGAACCGCGGCGGGCACTCGCCGACGGCACGCTCTCTGAGGACCTCCTCGGGTGCGACGCCGCGCCCCTCGGCAAGCAGGTCTGCGACGAGGCGGAGCAGCGAGTCGTGTGCGGCGAAGCGAGCACGCTCCCGCGCGGCGCCGCGAGGCGCGGGGCGCGGCGCTGCGGCGGCGGCGGCGGCGGCGGCGGCGGAGGAGGAGGAGGAGCCGGCGGAGGTGGTGGAGTTGGCGGCGGCGGAGGAGTCGGCAAGCAACGACCCCTCCGTCGCCCCCTCCGTCGCCCCCTCCGTCGCGCTCTCCTCCCTGCGACGCCTCCCCGCGCGCAGCAAGCGTCCGAACTCGTCGAGGTACCTATTGCCAGGCTGTCTGCTTTACCGCCGCAGGATCTCTTCTTCTCGCAGCACGCTTCCGAACTCGAGGGACGGCGCGAGCGCGGCAAAGTAGTCGTCGTCGCGCGGCACGCGGACCAGCGACCAGTGGCGGCCACCGCCTGTTCATGGCAGCACTGGGCGTCGGCTCGGAGTCCATGGTCGCTTACTCACCAGACACCGGCGGCGGCGATCGCCTGTTCAGGGCAGTACTCTCCCGTCCAGAACTCGGCGCCGAGTCTATGGTGGATGAGTGTGTCAGGCTGGCGGCCTCCGTACGAGGAGATATGGGGAGATATGGGGAGATATGGGGAGATATGGGGAGATATGGGGAGATATGGGGAGATATGGGGAGATATGGCCTCCGTACGAGGGAGATATGGGGAGAGATGGGGAGAGATGGGGAGATATGGCCTCCGTACGAGGGAGATATGGGGAGATATGGGGAGATATGGCCTCCGTACGAGGAGGAGGAGGGCTTGCCAGGCGGGGTGTAGTAGAAGAGGTCGCACCTAGTCACATGCTCAAGGAACCAGTTTTCAGTTCCGGCCAACGCTGGCCAGGCGGGGTGTAGTAGAAGAGGGCGGCGCCAGTCGTGTCCCGTCACGGCGAGCTGGCCTTGGATCTGGGCGAAGAACTCGGCGGGGCAGTCTTGCAGCTGCGGCACGGCGCCTCTCCGCCGGTGGCGGAAGGAGCACTTGACCTCGAGCAGGCCTGTTCACGGCAGGAGGGTGTGAAGAGGCGCCGTTCACGGTGGCGGAAGGAGCACTTGACCTCGAGCAGACCCGTTTCATTGGCGGCCGTCGTGACGATCCCATCGGGGGAGGCACCCCACCGAAGGTTGTCGTGCATGTGCAGCCCGGTCGGCTCGACGGCGTGGCCGGTCACGCGCTCGTACATCCGCACCGCGCGCGGCTCCATCTGAGTGCCGAAGGCCGTCGCGGCGTTGCCCCGGAATTGTGCGGCGGGATCGCCGAGCTTCCTCCGTAAGAGAAGGTCGCGGCTCGCGTGCCGCCACTCGTCCTTGGCGGCGGCGAACTCGGACGCCGTGATCTCGAGCGCCGCCCGGACGGCAAGCCACTCCGCCTCGTCGGTCCGCTGGTCCAGCGACGGTGTGTGCACTTCTCTGTGGGACCCGTCCGAGAAGAGGACCGTCGCGTGGTTGCGGCGAGTGAGCTCCACGGACCGGACGCGCGGCCGGCCTCTGAGTCGCGGCGTTGGAGCCAGCGGCCTCGGCGCGGTCGCCACTCCCATCGCAAGCTTCTCCTCCTCTGGCGTCACCACCTCCGCGCGCTCTCTCCGCCTGCCACGGGCGCGAGCCAGCGCCCGCCGGCCTCCCATCGAGGCAGGCACGCCGGCGCGTGGCACGTCGTGCAGCCTCGGTGTTGTTGTGCCCGGCGACCACGAGGCTGTAAACAGGGCGAGATAGGCCAGCATTGGTGCGGTCAGCTGGAATCAACACGAGGCGCTCGGAAGCCTGTGGCGGCAGCGAGTTGTTCGCGCGAGCGAGCGCGCGGCCTCCATCGAAGTAGAGAAAAAGGGGCATTTTTTTGGTAAAATTACACTGTGAAAAAGACAGAAAAAGAGAGAGAAAACGCGCGCGCAGCGCGCGTAGGCGGCGCGCAGCGCCGCCGCAGGCGGCGGACAGCAGGTGCGCAAAATTAAACGCCATTTTCGGTTCCGCGGTTTTGGCACTAACATCAAATGTCGGGATGATTGACTGATTCGACCACATGCCCGCCATGCGCAGGCCAGCGCCGCGCTGTGATACGCATAGAGACGACCCGACCTCTCTGAACTAAGCCAGATTACTGCGAACGAACGCCTAGCGCGGCGGGGAAGTCAACGGGGCAGCCGGCGGCGGCCGGCCGCGCCCGAGGCGCGAGGGCGTAGACGGGTGACAAATTGCCCGGGACGGCTGGGCACTTGGTCTCTGACGTAGGCCACGCACATGCACATTAAGCGGTGACATGACCTGATTGTTAAAAGAGCCGGTCCGCGAAATTAAATGCCATTCTCCAGGTATCCATTTTAGCACTAGATCTTCGAAATCCCGGCCGGTACTGTTTTTAAGAATGAGTGAAAGAGGTTGTTGGTGTTGTCTCTGAACGGGCTCGGCTGCGCCTGGGTTCGGAGCTTCAACGCCGGCCATTGCGCCGAATAAAACGGCGGCAAGTGCCGGGCACAGGGGCTTCGGCGAGAGCGTCGATGCCTTGAGCTGCCCGCTAATTGCCAGGGGCTGCACCGCCGTGTACATCAAGAAGAACTTGCAGATGTGCAAACTGTGTGTATGCCGAATCGTGACGGCGGCGAGGGCGACACGGACGGAGCAGGCGACAAAGGCGAATCCGACGGCGGAGGCGGCGACGGCGACACGGACGGAGGCGGCGAAAGCGATACCGAACGCTGTCGCCATCGCGGCCTCCAGGGTAGTCGCCGCGAGCGCTGCCTCCATCCGTATCGACATCCCCGGAGCCGATCGTGACCTAGACGCCTAATCGCCATAATGCCAACTGCCGTCACCGGCGTCGCTCTCACATTAGCCGACTGTCTCGTGAAGCACGTCGTCGGGCACTCGATATACCCGCACCTCTGAGGCTGGGCTCGGAATCGCCTACTGCCCACAAAGCGCCC